TTGACTGACTCAACATTTCCTGAGCACTCACGAGGTTTCAGGTGCGCTCTGGGTTCCGGAATGTAATAAGGAAGAAGGAAGTCAAACTATTGGGGGAGATCTGACCTATCACAAAATTACAAAGAGGTATGGCAAATGCTATGGAATCACTATGGGAAAACCTCGATTTTGTCACGTCTTCAATCATTCACTGACTTCCTCTATGACTAACTACTGCGTTCCTATGACAGGCTAGGTGACAAACAGGCCCACTCTACCGCGAGCAAGCCAGGGCCACCGCCTGTGTCTGCCTGTCCCTCCTTTTCCACATCCTGGACTCCATCTGCCCTTCAGGGGGCCTCTCACGGATCTGGGTGAGCACCCTAACCTGTGTTTACAAGTTTTGTTTTGTTTTAATCCTCACCCAAGGATATTTTTCTATTTATCTTCAGATAGAGTGGAAGGGATGGGGGCGAGAGAGAGAAACATCCATGTGAGAGAGACACATCGACTGGTTGCCTCCTGCACGACCCAGACCAGGACCGGGGAGGAACTGAACAGAGGTACGTGCCCTTGACTGGAATTCAACCTGTGACTCTTTGGTCTGCAGGCTGACGCTCCAACCACTGAGCCAAACCGGCTAGGGCTGTTTACAAGTTTTTAACCACCTTTCCCTAGGACCACCCTAGACCAGGAAGAGACTTTTGTGAACCCTAGAAGCCAGCTCAGGTCTGTTTGAGGGGGAGTGCTGGGATCCCAAGGCCCGGAGACTGGTCTGGAAAGGGAAGAAAAGGGCTTTGGGTGGGTGCGGCCCTTTGGCTCAATTCATTCCCTCCCCTGTGGTTGGCGGCAAGGGCAGAGGGGACCCAGAGGGCACAGAGCATGGTCCTCAGACAGGCAGCCTCCCTATCACCTGGGAGCTTGCTGGATATGTAGATCCCAGGCCCCACCAAAGACCCTGGGGATCAAATACTGCATTTTAACAAGGTCTCCAGGGGATTCCTGTGCATGTTGGGTTTGAGAAACACTGCTTTAGGAGCCCTATGTCGAATCCCTCTTTATAAACAGAGGAGCTGAGCTGGCTAAAGCCCGCGGAGGGGTCCCGCCTGGGTCTGGGAGCACACTTCCGGGCACCTGGCCATTCTCTGGCGGTGAACGTGTGCCTAAGCCAACTTGGGAAAAAATATCTTTCCAGTAACTCGGAGTGACTTGCTCCTGAAACAACAGATTTATAGTGAGTGGTCCAAGAGAGAGAATTTCATTAAGTCATGAATTAAAGGAAGGTTGTGGATAACTCATCACTGCAGGAAGGAAGTTAAAGGAAGGTTGAAAAGCTTCTAGTTTTCTGGTTTATTTCTGGAGGAACTTCCATAGCCAACGTTAATTGTCATTTTTAATTTATTTTTTCACTTCTGTATTCTTTTGGCCCTTTCTCTCTTTTTCTTGAGTACGTTTTAGTTCCCAAAGCCTTCGGATGCCCTCGTTTTGCCCTGTTTTTCTTCACTTCTCTACTTTTGCTTTTCTCAGTCTTTCACTTTGCTCCAAAGAAAATCAAACAAAGCGAAGTGAACCGGGCAAGGTTTAGAAACATCGTTCGGTGCTAGCTTCGTCCGTGCTGCTGCGAACTCCTATCGATTAGCAACAACAGGAATTTAACATGTAGTTTTTATTTATACATAAAAAATAGAACGGAATTTTGATTTTTACAAGTACCTTATACCCAGCTACAATGACCACCTACTGCCATTTGTGCATGTCATGTGTTCCATCTGCACATCTCCATTCTCCTACCGTCCCTCCCTCCTCCCTCCCTCCCCCCCTTCCTTCCTTCCTTCCTTCCTTCCTTCCTTCCTTCCTTCCTTCCTTCCTTCCTTCCTTCCTTCCTTCCTTTTCTCTCTCTCTCTCTCTCTCTCTCTCTCTCTCTCTCTCTCTCTGGCATTTATTAAAGCAAATCCCAGACACTGTATCATTGAACTAATTTCCTATACAATTTCCTGGAAGCAAGGCCACAAGAGAAGTAGGCTGAGGAAATTATCTCTTATGATTGTGTTCTTCATCAAAATATGGAATTTGAATTACTGAGATAAGGAGAAATATAGAATTTCAAAAACTGCTACATAATACCCCAAATGGTGCAGATTTTATTTTCCCTCTCCATGTCCTCCCCCTAGGGTCTTTCGTGGTGGTGGGGGGGTCTATGAGAACTTTTCACATACCTTTCCTATTAAAGGAGTAGCAGAGTCACAGAAACTTCAGGTGTTTATAAACCTAAGAGGAAGTGTGTACTCTCCTACTGTGCCCAAAGAGCATTCTGAGAACATCCCTATTGCAGTTAAACTTTGTCAGTGTAAAATTTGAGGAGATGCTCTGTGTGAAGGAACCAAACACATTACCCCCATGTAGCCCCCTGAACTGACTGTCATGATGGTTCAAAGGCACTTTGGCTCAGGACCTAGATATGAAAGCCTGGTGCACGTCAGATCCATGGAGTATCGAGTCATTTGAAGACCTGGTTATTTTCCATGAGTAAATATCCAACTAAATTTGAGTTAAATACCCTCTAAATAAGTCAAATAGACAGAGGCTTTGAATGAGGGAATTCATTATAGCTGGTGTCCTAAGGAAAAGAATCCCACTGTGGCACGGAGAGTGTAATTAATGGGAGGTGAGTGCCAACAAATCACTCCTTAAAATGTTAATGCTATCAAAGAACAGCTGGGTAATGAGAGGAACTTGACCCCTGGGGGACTAGCAAGGGTTGCTACAGAACTTTATGCAGTTGTGATGTAATGGAATTCCTCTCAATTTAACAAAAATAATATTAAGAGGTGTGGTTCTGGGAAAGTTATTAGCCGTAAACATGTCTTTGTAGTTTTATCATCTTATTATAATCACTATGTCTCACTTTTGCTGTGGTTCTAAATGACTTTCCCTCTTAATTGCTCAGGATATATATAATCCAAACAACACTCCTAAAATGCAACTTTAAAAACGCCCTTTAAGTCTGGCAAGAATTTTTTTTTTTTTTTTTGGTAAATAAAAACACAGTGTCTAAGTAATTTCTACAAAAACAATTTCCATGTGCTTAATTTTTAGGTCAAGAAAAACTCTTCCATTGTTTGTGGATAAAAGCCTGAACTTAATTTGGTTTTACTTTATAACTTATTATTGTCCCAAGAAATATCTAAGCAAGCAATAAAGTTAAATATGCATTTACACAGTCCTACTGGACATCTGAAATGTTGGGCATTATTTTCACATTCGCATAACTAAAAGCTAATCCCGGTATTTAAAAACAGAAACCAGAAGTAAGTCTTTACTTGGGGTGCACTTTAACTTAGATTTTTACAAAGAAACCGTTTCCTTCAGAATACACATGCCTCTCTGAACCGACTGGGACCTTCGGGAAGCTGTCGGTGTGGTAAGTGCTTTTGACCCACATTTTCATTTCTGGTCACAGCAAACTCCGTCTCTTTTGTTTCGCTCAACTTGGCAACATCTAAATCAGGGACGCGGGCATTCAGCGTGCTTGACAAATAGGCTGAGATACGCGGAACGTATTCACACATACCAATAAACGATGAGAGGAAGTGCAGGATGCAGTAAAAATAAATTCTTGAGCGTAGCCCAGGTTTCACATAACGCCAGTTTCATAAGGCGCTTACACCGCTAAAGGAGCAGTACCCCTGAAAATAGCACACAGGGGACACATCATTTAAATAAATGTGTTTCTTTGCCCGAACAGAAGTTCAGATCTGCTCAATTATCATTAATTTTGTTCTTTGATTTCTTTTGCTGGCGTGAACGGAGAAGCCGTGCTCTTTGAGGTTTTGCGAGCTGCCCTTGGTGGGTGGAGGTGACCCGCGATTCTTCACCCAGCGGCGCGCAGGTTAGGGGGTGGGGGAAAGTGCAAGTGTGTGTGTATTTGAGAAAATGTGCCGGCTCGCCTAGGAAAAAAAAAAAAAAGTAGAAACTTAGGTGGAAAACTCAGTGCACATGTTGGCAGCCCCTAAAAACCATGCTATTCATCCAGAATCCGTAGAACAGGTGTCCTAGGAAGGAGTCCCGATGCGTGCAACATGCGACAGGAGATTTGACAGAACTCAGCCACTGCGATCGTTGTTTCATTATATCCATAATAAAAAGCGAAACCCGTGTCTCCACCCGCGCACCCAGCGTGGGTAGACGCAGAACCAGGTAGCCCTCTCCTTTATTTTGTGGACTTTTCTGAGCTGAGCGAGAGTTGGGGTGTGTGGGGGGAGGGTCCGGACTCCTCAGGGTTAGAGTCTAGTCTTGGGGAGCGAGGTGGGCGGGGGTGGCCCCGGGAAGGCGGAGGAGGGCGCTCGAACCAGGAAGCGCCGAGGACCGGGGACCCACGCAGCGACCGCGGTGATTAGCTCCGGCGGCGCGACCCAGGAGGGCGGACTCTTTCCTCACCCTCGCTGTCTCCCCCTCCCTCTTCCTTTTTAAAGGACGCCTTGCAGGCAGAGCTGTCAGCAACCGGGAGGCCATCAGTGCTTGGCCGCGGCCAGGCTGACTCCTGTTCCCGTGACAGAAAAGGGCGGGTGCCGAGGGGCCACTTGTCCCGCGATCCACACCTAGGGCTCTCAAATTTTCCTTCCTTTGGGCTCCGCTCTGGACCCGGCGACGGTCACAAGTCCGGGTGCTGTGCGGCCCTGGAGTTGCCGGCCCCGGGCGCGATGGCTCCCTTGAGGAGTGGAGAGGGAGGTGGCCAAGGGTTCCACGCGCCCCTCGCAGCGGGAGCATTATGAGCCGGGCAAAGTGCAGCAGCAGCAGCAGCAGCAGCCCCAGTAGCACCTTCGCCCGGTGCCTCCCTCGGGCCCCAGCCCACTTGCCCCCGCGCACCATGCCTGGCCCCGGCCTGCCGATGCCGCAGCGCAGCCCCCGCCGTCTCCGAGGCCCCTTCTAACGCACGCGGGAGTGGCCTTGGCCACCTGGGGAGCGGCCCGCGCCGCGCCCGGGGCAGGCGGAACCTCGGTGCGCCCCAAGCCCGGCTGAGCCCTTCGCTCCCCAGCCGCGTCCCCGTCCCGGCTGCCCCGGCGCCCGCGGCGATGGGGGCGCTGCTGGCGCTCTGCCTCCTCCTGGGCTGGCCGCGCTGGGGCCCGGCGGCCGCCCAGCAGTCCGGAGAGTATTGCCACGGTTGGGTGGACGTTCAGGGCAACTACCACGAGGGCTTCCAGTGCCCGGAGGACTTCGACACGCTGGATGCCACCATCTGCTGCGGCTCCTGTGCGCTGCGCTACTGCTGCGCCGCGGCCGACGCCAGGCTGGAGCAGGGCGGCTGCACCAACGACCGCGGCGAGCTGGAGCATCCGGGCATCACGGCTCGTAAGTGCGGCCCCCAGGGCCCGCCACCAGCCCGACCGCCCGGGTCTTCCCGGGGCTGCGCGACGGGGACGCGGCGAGGTGGAGGGGCCAGGGAGGAGTGGGTGGTCGCGTTTCAGGTCAGGGGCCCTATTCCTTTGCAGTCCCAGCTCCCGCCACTCGCGGTCTTCGCTGGAAGGGTCAAGGGAAAGTTTGCGGAGGACGGGGAGGACTGCGAGGCTCGCACCGGGTGGCTTTGGGGAAGACCGCTGGAACTCCTGGGCGCTAGGGACGTTGCCGAGAAGGGATTTGGGGGCGGCACCCGGCTGTACTTGGGTTTTCGGGGTGGTGAGGGCGCCCCACGGCGTGCCCTCATCACTCCGGGAGCTTCGGGAAGTGCCTGTGGCGCGGGGAACGCAACTCTTGGGGCACGCTCAGCTGTAGTCCTGAGGGGCTAAGGGACTTCAGCCACTTTTTTTCTTTTGTGGTCTTTTGGTAGCATTTCTAAACCGCTGTTCCATTCTTCCGACTTCCTTTCATTTCTCTGCATCGAATTAGCCCCTCCAGCCCACCCCCTATTGTCACGCCTTTCAGAAATGCCCAAGTTCTCGAGGTGGAGATTTAGAAACCAGGGTCGCAGGGGCTTCCCCGCCCCCTATTCTCACGTCGGAAAACACGGGTCAAATTTCCGCTCACTTCAGAGTGGAATAAATCACGACCCCAGCAGAGAAACTTTACACGTTAAAAAAGAAAGAAAGACAGAAAAAAGCTCTCCACCTGAGTCAGAACATCAGGGAAACCCTTTAGAGCTCCAGGCGACGGTTTTACGGCCGGGAAACCGGAGGAACCGGCGAGCTGAGAGCGTGTGACCCCAGAACTGCGCAGAGGTCTGAAGCCGCGAGGGAAGGTCCCCGGCAAGGCGAGGAGAGGCTGGAGAGAGAATTAAAGATGCTGGAGCTACCCCCTCCTGCCCCGCCAAGACACGGATGAATAACTCAGAGGAAAGGAGTCTGCTCTTCCTTAGAACTCCATTAGACTTTCAACACATTTAACTTGGGAGGTCAGAATACCCAGTCTAGAGGATCTGGAAAGTGGCTACTGGAGAAAAGATAATCAGTGGAAAGTAGGAAACTCTAGGTAGTCCTGGCCTGTTAGAGAAATAAAGACTTCTCACCGTGGGGACCCTGTTGCTCTCTGTAGAGTGTAAGTGACCAGCTTATAGGGGACCCTTTCCAGACCCGCTCGCTCTGCTCAGAGAGGGCACAGTCTCCGCGCTCACTGAGGCTGGGCCCTGGCAAATTCTCACGGACTGTGGCCTTGTTGCTATCCAGCAGTGTAACTTTGGGCAAGTTACTTAACTGCTCTGGGCCTCTTCTCAACTCTAAAACGGGCACGTTACTCTCAGAGCTAGGTTGTGGATTACAGGAGTGCATCCTAGCTCAGGGCGCGGTTACTGAGCCATCTTCGCTCTGCTTTCCACTGGATGTTACTGAACATGGCCGGATGGGTGGTCCACTGAAGAGCTTACACCTAGGAGCCCGCAGAAGTGGGGGTTGATAGTTCCCTGTCACTCACCGTCTTTGAGAATGTCAAAAACTCTCTGATATGTTTCCATATCTGGAAAATAGAGCTTATCGTGCCCACCTCACAGGGTCTCCATGAGACTTGCATCAGATAGTAAAAAAAAAAAAAAGTGCCAGGCATCGTTGGGCCGTCACCAATGCAGGTTTTCCTTCTTCTGCCTCTGAGCTGGAGGGTGCATGCAAGGGGGCTCCATCAGTCAGGGGGGACAGTGGGAGAACTACCCAGGGGGTGCTTCTGGCGTGGGGCATTTCATGTCTGCCTTGTGGACAAAGAAATTGGGGTTTGCTCTGTCTGGGGAGGCTCTCACACAAAGTCTGGGCCACCAACACCAAGAATTGCGTCACGATCTAAGGTTCAGCCTGCCCTTCCCAGACCTCAAGTGGGAATCTAGAGGCAGATGTGTGGCAGCTGGAGTAGGCATCTTAAATTGTTTCTGGAAATGTCCAGAGATGACCATTTGTGATGCATTAGGAGACACAGTTAATTGGGGCCCACTATGGATTTCTTCATACTGTTCTTCCCATAGTCCGGTGAGTTCCCGAGGGTCTCATTTAACAGGCCTACTTCTCTTTGTTTAGATGGGAGATTCTGGGATGGGAGATGGATTTTCAGCCTCAGATATGGGTCAAAGCCCTAATGCCCCACCGTGATAAAACTACTAACACCCGGATTTAAACCCTGAGTTACAGTAACCAAGAAAAACTTACCATTTCCTTTCCTCAGTGCCTGAACAGGACAGAGTCTGTTCCTTCTGACTTCCAGATGTGCAGTATGATGGCTAATTGCTAACAGAGGCTACAGTATCAGTTTCCTTCTTCCCCGTTAGGAGCAAGAATATTCCCTTATCACGCTGTGCATATTAGAAGTTACCAGTAACAAGCTCCTACCAGGAAGAAGCTGGGCTGACCAGTGGTAGCACTGAGCTGCCCACCTCCCACCCCTGATCTGTCCGCAGTTTGGGAGACCCCTGTCCCAGCATCTGTTCATGTCTTTTTTTTTTTCCTTTTAGAGCCTGTCTACGTTCCCTTCCTAATTGTCGGCTCCATCTTCATTGCCTTCATCATCCTGGGCTCTTTAGTGGCTATTTATTGTTGCACCTGCTTGAGACCCAAGGAGCCCTCCCAGCAGCCAATCCGATTCTCACTCCGCAGCTATCAGACAGAGACCCTGCCCATGATACTGACCTCGACGAACCTCAGAGCACCTTCCAGACAGTCCAGCACAGCCACCAGCTCCAGCTCCACAGGGGGCTCCATCCGAAGGTTCTCCTTTGCCAGAGCAGAGCCAGGCTGCCTGGTACCCTCGCCGCCCCCACCTTACACCACAGGCCACCCAATCCACCTCACCCAGCCATCTGGTTTCCTGGTGTCACCCCAGTACTTTGCTTACCCGCTCCAGCAGGAGCCCCCACTGCCCGGGAAGACCTGTCCAGACTTCAGTTCCAGTTGACAGGCCACGGACATAAATCCACCCTGTGGTACAATGCAGACAGGTGGACCGCTGCTGCCATTGCCACCGATATTTCTGAGGACATTCCCCTTGAACCCGGCACTGCTGTGGAGGAAAGTGCTAGGGAAATATAATGCTTTCTAGTCTTAAGGTTCCTGCCTGCAATAACAGAATGACTGTGTTAGATAACTGCTTTCTGGCTTTGAAAACATGGTGACCGTTACATTTCAGTTTATGCTAGTTTTATTCAAAATATACAGCAGTTCAACCTTAAAGTTGCAAACGGGCTGAAGATGTTTTATTAGACAACTTGGTTGTACTGTTTAGAAAAGGTCTACATATTCTTTTTTCATTATAAGTTGTTTAGTGAGTTATAGTACACATTTATACATAAATAAGCAAAGGAAAATACCTGATTGTAATTATCGAAGGTTCACTTAAAAGAATTAACTACTAAGTAAACTGAGGGGACAGTAACAACCTATTTATGATCTGGGGAGCAATCTAACCATGAATAATATTAGCATCATCAGAAACAGTTACCTTTAATCTTACTAACTAAATCTTGTTTAAAATATAAAAGCTTTTTCAGAATATAAAATTTCAATAACAGGAGGAGTTTAGTTTTAAATATTTACTCAGATATTCATTGTAACACAGATCATACATAAAAGTATTTCCCCCACCCACCCGAGGGAATATTTATTGCAGACTTTTTGTTCAGCAATATTTTGTGTTTAAATGGAAACTGGCCAGTTGGGTCTTAAGACATTTATATGTAAAATGAGTTATGTACAAATGTAAAGATTTATAATTTAATGGATTTGCCACATTGACGGTACTAATTATTTAGTAGTCACACTGTAATTTTTTATGTTAATATTAACTGTGGAGCTCAAAGTCCAGCTACTTGTTATAATCATCTAATACTACATATCACAAATGCCACTGAATTCTGTGTCTGATGACTACATATTTGGGCATATATCCTGCTGGGTTAGAATAAATAAATGTTTTTGTGAAATCTATTTGAAAGTTTATCAGAGTGCTTCATTTTATCTCCTTAATGATACTCTGCTATTCAATAAAAGGAAATACATTTACTCAACACTTCATATTTGAAATGCAAAGAAAAATGATCTCACATTGGTTTTGAATTACATTAAAAAGCTATTTCCTGCATGGGGCTCATGAAAGCAGTAAAGGAAGTGAATTTTTTTGGAGTATCAGCCTGTGAGCTGCTTGCCACCCTCAGATGTGTGGACTATTTCTCATGAGAGTCTGGATTTCTGGCTTCTTGTTGCCCATAGAAGATGTGGCCCCGAGGCTCCTGCACGGCCACGGGGCCACGGCGTTCTCCCCACCTGGCCCATCTGCCTGCTCTGTTACCTGCCTGGCCCCTGGGGTGTTGTTTGGGAATCCAGGTTTATATGAATTCATACTACCATAGGTCACTCTTAGCAGCTCTTTTTAATACAGCTAGTTAGAGGTAAAATTCTGACCTGAGAGTCATTTGGCCCGCCTCTCTGAAACAAGTTTAAAGATACTGGGCCTTTGCCCGGTCTAACAGCCAAGGAGCTCTGCCTTCCAGTCTCCTGCTTCCTCCTGCTTCCAGTACCCCAAATTGGCCCACATAATTAAAGAACCAAAGAAAGAAAGGGAGGATGAAGGGAGGGAGGGAGGAAGGGAGGGAGGGAGGAAGGAAGGAAGGAAGGAAGGAAGGAAGGAAGGAAGGAAGGAAGGAAGGAAGGAGAAACAGAGAAGCCTGAACAGAAAAGGATGAATATTTGAGAGCATGCTTTGGGACACATTCCTGTGTCATCAGACTGGTTTCATTCATGTTTGTTAGGTATGCCTCCTTTCATATTTTTAGGTTAATCTTTACGTAGACTCTTAGGAGCCAGACTATTGTAAATATTTACCTGCACTAACTCATTTTATCCTCCAAAAAAAGTCAAGAGGGAGTTATTAAATTTCTATTTTACAGATTTGGAAGCAGGCACAGAGAAGTAGAGCAACTTGCCCAAGGTCCCACAGGGAGTCAGCACTGGAACTGTGTGCACGAGCAGATTCAAACACGCAGGGAGCACCTGCTTCGAGGCTTTGATGCCTCCGTGCACGGAATCCACTGGAGAGCAGAGCGGGAGGCTCAGCTCCTCTCTCCAAGGCAGTGATGGTCACTCTGTTGGACCCAGTGAGCTCTCCTTAGAACAATTGTTTTGTGACATCCCTTGAACTGTCTGTCCTAACGTGAAATTCATAGATACTATTACTCATACTACACATATAATGTAAAAAATCAAGACAATGTCCTGTGGTAAACAGTCTGGAGAAAGAAAGGGGAAGTGATTGACTTCACAATATAATGGCTTGGAGAGCTACACAAAGGATTCAGATGCAAACCTCTCACACAGAACCACTGGCGTGTGACAGTTCCAGACCCAGGCCGACGCAGGTGTGCCAGACCGGCAACTCCAACACCACAGTTGCATTGCTGCTGTTAATGTGGCTTTTACAAACAGAGCAAAGTTTGATCCTCTTTTGATCTGGAAAATTCAGTGTATATTAAGGCAGTGCAAATATTATATTATAAGGAAAATGGGATTAGGTTTTAACACCAAAAGGAGTGGGGGACATTCCAAAGTCATGCCAATGGACATCAAGTCTTGATGTGGGGACTGTCCCATGTATTGTAGGATCTCTCCAAGTGAATGCCCACAGAACACCTGCCCCAGCCCCAAACACTGAGGCCAAACACGCATGCACACAATTTCACAGTGTCCTCTAGAGGGCAGAACTACCCCCACTGATAACCATCTAGTTTGTCAGGTTTCTCTAGTAGCTGTACTTTCAGTTGCCACCCCTTTGGGGAGCAGTTTGTATCTATTAGGCTGAATAATGCTGAAGAATTCTGAAAGCTCACATCTGCAGCCTTCCCTTCCTTAGCAGCATGCTCCCATCAATCAAGTTCACTGGCTACAAATGGTTTACCACGAGGCAGACATTGTGCACCTCACTGCACTACGGCATTCAGCGATGCTGACGCAAATCACATCCCCACATATTTGTTGACACGCAGTACATGTCTTTGAACTTCTCTCTGGAAGCTACGTAGCTGATAATATTATTATTTACAATCCCAGGGTGAAAAGGCCGTCCTGTGGCAGATGTGCAGACATCGTCCCGTTCAGCAAGCATGTGTTGCACACCCCGGATGGGCCAGGCTCTGTGCTAGGGGACGGGGGTACCATGATGAATAACATGCAGCTCTGATTCAACGAGCCACTTTTTCTCATGGACTCATGACAGCAACTACCCGTGATGTCATGGTGCTTTATAAAAGAAGCACGTTATCTTTCCTGCTTTCCAAAAGCTCACAGTCACGTAGGGAAGATGAACCCATCCATCAACACCGAATTACAGGGATAGGGCAAGTCCATCCAGAGCGTGCTGGCAGCCGGGACAAAGGGCACTCGCATCCTGGAGGTGATGACGCTGGGCCTGAGCCGTGAGATGAATGGGATCTGAGTGAAGACTGGCCGGCGGGAGGGAGGACGGAGGGCTGGAAACGAGGGGAAGGGCTTCTACGGCAAAGTACAGAACTCCTAGAAAGGCAGAGACGCACCCACAGACGTGAAAGAACAAGCAACCTTCTGGAAACTAGACAGAGAATTCCAAGAACGGAGAGTGGAGAGATAAGCAGGATCAGATCAGAGATTTTGAACACCATGGCGGTTGGATATATACCACAGGCAAGTGGGAGCCTTGAAGGATCTTAGGAGAGAGAGCGACTCAGGGACACCTTCAGTTTAGAAAGACGAGGCAGCCAAGTTTATGTCAAATCACCTCAGATTTCCCAGGAGATGCTCACCACAACCTGCCATGCTACCGGAACACAGAGGAGACTCGTCTGATTAATGCTTTGTTGTGTTCAGAAAGAATTAGAGTTCCAACATCTTAAAACCATGATTATTTTGAAAAACAAAGAAACAAACAAACAATAGTTATATATTTTGAAAGGTAGTTATTCAAATAATTGGCAACATTTATTGAGCATGACATGTGTCTCAGTGCTTTATGAATTGTATCATTTAACCTTTACCACCTGAGGTAGGGACTACTCTCATGCCTGTTTCACAAAGGAAGAAACCAAAGCAAAAATGTCCAACACTGTCCAAGGCCTGATAATCATAGCAGAGTCCAGATCAGAACCACGGAGGTCTGCTTTAGGAACTCTACATTCTTTATGACACCTACCTAGAATGCCTACTTTTCTCAGGAAAAAATACCACACTTTCCAGAAAAATCTACTGGGGAAAAGTGATTGTGTAATACTGCACATACCCTATAGAGGGCATTGTAACGGTCAGTAGTTTGTGCTACATCATGAGAACCTAAATAATGTACAGGCGTCCCGCGCCACTTTGTGCTTTGACTTTTGCAGCTTCACTCTATCGTGTTTTTTTCAAATATATTAAAAAGTTGATTGAGACAGTGAAAATGTTACAGCACGTGCTCAGTTGTCTGAGTCAATTTTACATCCCTGTATTACAATTAAAATTAAAATTACTGTACGTATGGACTGTAGGCCTACGAATTCGAGCACCCCAGGAATCCTTCAGCGCCGGGTGCTACCGCTAGAGTCTGGAACGGATTAACCGCGATAAACGAGGGACGACTGTAAAGCACAAATAGAAATACTAGATGACAAACATCTCTCCCTTTACACGCGAGAAACTTTGAGACCAGAAGGCGATTTAGCACGGATTTTAGAGTCATAGTGTCTGGGTTAGTTTCCTGGCTATTACTTATAAACTGATTGACTTTGAGCCACTTACTTAACTTCACTGTGTCTCAGTGTTTTCATTTGTAAAATGGAAAAATTACCGGTACCTTATTGTCTAGGACTGTATGAGAAATAGGGAGATAGAGCCACTGTCTCAGATCACCTGCATTCTAGCAGGAAGGGAGCTGTGTCATAAGCGAACAAAAAATGACAGAAAGCAGATGAAATATCCTAAAATAAAAACGAAAGGTAAGTACTGTGGGGGGCAGATGTAACTGCTGGGAGTTCAGGGACTAGAGAAAATGGCCCAACAATCTGATAGAGTCAGTGCGTGACGATCCAAGGCCTCCTCTGATATCGGGCTGATTTCCACTATTGCTTGGGACAGAGCACCTTCCCACCCTGTGGTCTCATGGCCTGTGAATTTATTTTATCATCTGCATAGGAAGATTTAATATAGTGAATTTGCTTTAAAATGGTTATTCATTCCAAAGTCAACAAATTGTACTCTTAGTTGTTCAAATAGATAGACTGTTACCTCTTATTTTCCCCACCTCTCTACTCTTTATTGATGTTATTATTAGCTCCTTCTCTTGGTGGAGAATTTGCCAGATAACCTTAAGTCCATAGAAAATTTCCTGCCTAAAATGAGGCAACTAAAAAGTTTCCTGAAAATATATACAATCACAATTAGGAATGCAATAAATTTCATTGGATCAGTTTACCTTTGCATAACCTAGAAAGTTTACTGAGTATGTGTTCAGGAAAATTAAGAATTTACAGGCATATTAAACTATCAAGGAACAAACTGTTAACATATTTTTATATGTACATGGCTATTTTAAAATTGCAATTAAATATTAGTTATTAACGAAATTATCCTGACAGAGAATTCTTATTTGAATTGCTAGTTACATAGTTTAAACTTGAAATAAAAACTGAATGTACCGCCTTATGACCCAGCAATTCCATTTCTGGGAATAACCTAAGAAACCTACAGCACTAATTCAAAAGAATATATGCACCTCTATGTTCATTTCAGCATTATTTACAATAGCCAGGATTTGGAAGTAGCTCAAGTGCCTATCAGTGGATGAGTGGATCAAAAAGCTGTGGTACAGTTACATAATGGAATACTACTCGGCTGTGAAAAAGAAGGGAACCTTTTTTTTTTTTTTTGCTGTTGTTAATCCTCACTTGAGGATAGTTTTCCATTGATTTTTAGATAGGGTGGAAGGGATGGAGGGAGAGAGAGAGAAACATCAATGTGAGAGAGATACACCAATTGGTTGCCTCCCACAAGACCCTGACAGGGGTTGAACCTGCAACCCAGGTATGTGCCCTTGACTGGGAATTGAACCCAAGACTCTTCAGTCCAAGGGCCAATGCTGTAATTGCTGAGCCAAACCGGCCAGAGCAGGAAATCTTACCTTTTGTAACAGCATGGATGGACCTGGAAAGTATTATGCTAAGTGAAATAAGCCAGTCAGCGAAAGGCGAGAACCCTATGATTTCACTTACACATGAAATCAAACAAAATAAACTAACAAACAAAAAAGAAACAGAATCCTAGATACAGAGAACAGACTGACAGCTGTCAGAGGGAGAGTTGAGGGTCTGGGTGAAAAAGGTGAAGGGATTCAGTAAAAATAAATAAATAAATAAATAAACCTCATGGACACAGACAATATAGTGATTGCCAGAGGGCGAGGGGGGGTGGAGGGAGGTGGGGGAGGTGGGAGAGGGCGAGGGGGCGGGGGAGGTGGGAGAGGGCAGGGGGCCGGGGGAGGTGGGGGGGGCAGGAGGCGGGGGGAGGTGGGAGAGAGTGAGGGGGACATAAATGGTGGCAGAAGGAGACGACTTTGGGTGGTGAGCACACAATGCAGTATGCAGATGTTATAAAATTGTACACTTGAAACCCATATGATTTTATTAACCACTGTCACTCTAATAAATTCAATTATAAAAACCCAAATGGTAAAATGTTTCATATTTTCCAACAATTTTTATTAGCCTACTAGTGAAATTATCCAGGTTAGGAAGATCTTTCTTTCTTCATTAAAATGAGTGGCTCTGTGTCACTGAAATGGGAGCTTTAGGTTAGTGATGCCATAAACATACAAAACCTTCTAAATGCAGATGACGTACTGAATTTATGGGAATGTATTTCAGGTTGCGGTTTCCTCATGGTAGTATTAGAAGGCACCTTACACTATAAGGGCAGTATGAACACGGTGCTTATTTTAAGGGGAAGAACGTTGAATGTGAAAATCATTTGATATAATTCACAGGTAACTTTTCCTTAGGGACGTTGTTTTGCTGTAATTTTGCTTGGGGTATCCACACCCGACCTTGTCCCCAGGAAGGCTGTGGGACAGGACACGGCTCACTCTGATAAAACCAGGGGCTCCTCACATTGTGAACTAATCCTATTCCAGCAGGTTACCTGGGTGCAGCTTCGGGTACTTTTACCCAGCGATGCTTATTTCTTAGTGAGCTATTGTCCCCGTTTCTGATGTTTCCTGTACTTTTGTATCACATGGCAATATTATTATTTTCTGGTTACTTCCTTCAGATGTTAATGGTTAAACTTGACCACTTTCGCATGAACTTAAAAAAAAATCTGGTGGGTTTGGATAACCTAAGAAATTCACCCTATGAGAGAAACTGGACTTGCAGGCTGATTTACACATGTAGCGGGACCATCCTGGAAGGCTTCTCTGACTGTGGAACCAAAATACAATAATTTCACTCAAAATGTTCTTTTTCGATACGTAATTGTCAAAACTATCCTTCTTGCTGAAGTTGATATGCTCCACTCCAAGTTTCAGTTAGCTGGGCAAAAATGAAGGGCTATTTCATATATCACTGGGGTTGAAAACAAAACATGCTAATAATGCTCTTCAATGGATACACCTCCTCAGACTCTATAGTTATGTGGATTTGAAGGGTTTATAAAGCAATATAGTTTCTAAAACTAGCAATGAAAAACTTTAACAATATTCTTTATGTAATGGTAAAGTTTATTTCATTTTTAATAACAATTAGAGGACAAAATGTTTAAAATTTGCAGTTTAAAACATGCACATTCACAAAAGGCCAATGACACGCAACACTGCATAGAATTGGATATTACTCAACTTTAATAACTATTTACAAAACACAGTGCATTGAACATCGACGTAAACAAACCTGAGGAAACTACTATCATCACAGATTCAACACTCGCCACTCATGCAGCTTCGCAGTTTCCACAGCAGCGTCAGCAGGAATGGCTCTTCACAGAGCTGAAAATCCTGTTCTCTCTCTAACGCAAACTGCAGTTTTCCATAGTGGCTGCCTTGCAAGGGTGCCTTTTTTTTTTCTTTAACTTAATAAACTTGAAAATGTGAAAAATGAAGTTTCAAGTAGTAAAACAAGGAACAAACAGTATTTACTGCATTTATGGCTTCTATTCTAGAACCATGAACATAAAAATATTTATTATTTTTTTAATATTCTGCTAACATCTTTGCAAGAGCAATTTACCTATGGAAAGTTGCTGTTAATTGAAAGTAAGCAAGTATGAAATCTAACTTTTTTCCTACTTATGGGAGATTTATTTGCTAAGTTTTGTGAGCTTTATTAAGAAAAATTCTCAGAGGCCGGCTAAACAAAAGTTTCAATTAAATTTGTTCAAATTTGTTTGTAAAATAATTTACTTATTAAAAAAAAGTTGTGCAGCAGACCAATTAATTTGTCCACTGAATATTAAATTCCAGGAAAGCTATGATAGAATTTTAAAAGGCAAAAATAAACATCAAGATTTACAGCAATAGCCATGCATTGGCCTGGACCACTTTAAATATTAATTCATGCAAACCATAAACCTATCAAAAACACAGCTGCTCTCACACAGAAAATAAATCAAGATAGAAAATGGAAAACATTTATTTCCTTTCCTTTAAAATTTAACTTACATTCCACTTTAATAGCTGTTGAAGGTTAATTAAAATGCAGCAAAATAGAACTAAGTTTCACAAGTGACTTCAGTTATTTTAATGTGAGAAAAATCAGACCATGGTCTCTTTAAGAGGCATTAGAGAAATGTTCATCATTAAAAAGAATTACTTAGGTAACAAAATGCATGGAGTTACATTAAGTAATTGATAAAAATAATTCATAGGCCTGGCCCATAGGATTGGGGTGGGCATTTTCCTGATAAATTTTGGAGATGATTATGAGATTATAGACTTGTTTGATGGTATACATTTTAAAATCAGAAACTGTCCAAGGGCAACTGCACCGAAATAAACACTAACGATTATTAGCTTTGTAATAATGATGACATTGTTATAAATAATTTAAAACTACAAATATACAATCTATTACTTTCAGACCAGCATCCATGTCCTCAAAAGAGCGTTTTAAATGACAGGTTGTAAGTGGCGTACAGTGCACACAATGTACAAGTTATCCTGTGACTCTCGCATTGGATATTTAGAAAGCGGAACTGCAAAAGTAAAACGTAATGGTCAGAATACATGCTGATTTCCTGATTTCATTCCCCCCCCCACCCTGGAAATTAATAGGAATCACTGATTGCATTGAGTGACCATACAATTTATGTCAACAGCCAATTTATTGAGCTGAGCACAATTCACCTGACTTGATTAGGAAACACTTTCCATTAACTTCACAACACTGCTGGAGCAGGCTGGCCGCAGACAGGGCGGGCGGCACATGCATCATTTTAAAGTTACTCCGTTCCTGAGAAACACCGCTTTCCTGCTAATAATTTCTGCCGTATAGCATCTTTCTGGGTGTGAGACACCAATATATTTTTACATGTTATCTAAAACATTTAGGAAGTTCATGCGCAGTGTCACTGTGTGCGACTCAACATTAAAGAAGTGACTCCCAGCTTTTCAATGGGAAATGAGTGAGGATTTCTGCTCTAAGTATTTTCTGAGTTGTAAACATTGTAAAGCGATGGTGTTAGCATTTGCCAGAGTCCCTACAAGGGACTTTTTAATGGAAGAGTACTTGTCCTTTATTTCAGAAAATACACGTTAAAAGTCACTTCGACTGCTTATGGTAACCCTGGTAAAACTGTGTTACATTTATCCCTCCTTGGGAAGGCTGAAACATGAGAGAGGATTTTCTCTAACTTAACACTATGACGTCACTGCCATTGCAATGTTCTAAGTTTCACCAGGGAGATCATTCCCTGCTGCCCCCACCACAACTCCCACCCAAGAAGCAAAGAAATTGACTTAAAACATCGATAATTCAAATACAGGGCCATGGGACAAAAATGCATAAATGAGTCCTATTTCTGATCATGATCCTGTACATTGTTAACCATGAGTATTTTACTCACGTCGACGAGCCCCAGGGAAATAATCCGCTTTGAGATAACAAAACACGTTTGGTTTTCTTAAGTCGTGAAATTCAGTTTTACTACAGTCATCATATTTTGCTGTTAAAGTTTTGGAGAAGGCCACTGGTGAGGGACGGCAAGTGGGAGCCACTGGCGTCTGCAACTGCTCTCCGGTTCTCTCTGGAGGGAGGTCCGTCGGTCTCAGTTTTTAACTTTTGTGGTTTGACTTCAGCTCTCTGGAGACCCCGAAAAGCCACTCTCAGGGTCCCTTCGGTAGACAGTTCAAGCCTGCGACTTCAGAATTTTGAAGACGACCTTACACCTGTGGTCTTGCTCGATGTTTTGATTTGCGGTTCTCTTCATCTGAGCCCCAAGGGGAAGAGTCCAGGAAGTGAAGTATGGCAACTCCTGGCCCCTTTTAGGTTAGAATTATGTACGTGTTATAACCTCTCTTATTTGTAGAAAATGTGGGAGGCATGCTGGTAACCAAACAGCCAAAAATACCGAGAAGGAAATGATGTATAGCCCAATTTTAAATCTAGATTGAGAAAAAGGGTGAAGAGAATGTGCAATTATTAAACTCAAGGAGTGGTTCGGAAAACCACCTCTCTCCTCAATTCTAGTTGACTTTTTTTTTTAAAGAGGAAGTTCTACCTATTTTGCTGGTAAGTCCATGTAAAGGCAAACAGGCTTTTGAGTAAAAGGCAAAAAGTTTGCTTCAATCTCTGAAGTGTATCCGAAAACTAGAATTCCTTTACATTTTTTCCTAGATGAAAGCACTATTTTAAAAACAGTGTAGAAAAACTGGTTGTGGTTTTAAACAGTCCCTTCACCATTTATTGTTGGTAGCAAAACAGGCATTTTCAAATGTCTTGAAAATGCTGAAAATAACGAAAATGAACATACAGTTGAAAGCATATTAACAAAACCAACTCATGATGAAAAGTGTTCTTTGACTATAAAGTTATAGGCTTGAGTAAAATAGATATTTTTTAAAAGGGGGAAATGTACTTTTTATTTGTCTCAATTAGCAGCATGTGACTAATTGAGGAGCTGCTTGACAAGTGAACTGTGAAATAATTCTCCGTCTTAAGTGTCGGGCAATCAGCACAACGGGGTGTGCGACAGAAGACAGCAGGCATCTCTAGTGGCAACAAACAGGGAGAACTGAACCACAGGACAAAAGCCCATGCATTTATCTGACATGGTGTTTCAAACATCTCAACAGAAGCATGAGAAATCCCACGTGAATATGTAAGCATATTTTTCTTAAGAGAAAAAAGTTTAAGACAAAATGACATCACTCAACTACAGCAGAAGCCAGATTTTTAGAAAAATCTAAATGATGATGAAATCTCATTAGAAATGACCGAGACATAAACACAGTTTAAAAAATCAGTATCATAACGACTGACTCACATCACCATGCGTGCCCCTCTAAGTTGAACAAGTAAACAAGACAAACAAGACAGAAGCGTTTGTAAGGCCAAAGGTGCAACATCACAGATTTTAGTAGCAAATGCCTCGAAATACTCATTTTTGCAAATCACTTTTATATTTGGAAAGTCAAGCATGCAACTCTTACAGCAGAACTGGAGGTAAACTTTCTCTCAAATTCCTGGGCAAATGACTACTGAACAAGAGATACATTTATTAAACTTCTTTGGCAAACACTTACCGAGACAGTTTTTGACACAAATACTTATTAATGTTTTGTTTAGAAATTTTGCTCAGTAAGGTGAGTCAGTTCCTTAAGAATGCTTTTTTCCTCCCCCCAAGAATATTCTAAAATCAGTCTGGATATCAAGAGCCCCTTTTACTTATTACCATTTAAAACTTTTTTTAATGGTCAGTCACCTGTGGTATCTCCAATAAATCGATAGTTACAGCCGCACAGTAACGGCTTAAGAACACTGACCTATTCTCAGTTTGAGAAAGCACTCTGGCAAGATACAAGGTCATTTCCAATTTCTGTTTACAAAGACTTAGCAAATACTTAAAAACTCTGAAAGAGATGGTGTTACAGTAGACTGCACAGTGCTTATGTCTATAATATACATGAATCTGAACGTCAGTCGACGCATGAGCTCAGATCCACCTTTCACCTCCTCGGACCCGGCTAGAACTGGTCAGCAGATTCTGGCGAAGACGGGGAGCCCTCCACAGAGCCCCGCAGAGCCAGCCCGGCCTGGCAGCCCCCCATCACCATTCATCAGGTCTCTGCTTCGTGGTGTCATAGGCCCTAATCACTTCTGACTGGGAGACGACTCCATTTTCATCTTGAGAGAAAGCATACCCGTCTGAAAGGTGAAGATAAAATAGAAGTGATCATCATGAGGTCACTGGAAATCTCTGCTATTCTGAGTTCTGAGTGCTCATTTTCTAACTTGGTGAATTACCGCGTCCTTCCCACCTTCAAAAGCATGAAGACACTAATTTTTAATGCCCAGAGAGGACACAGGCTCGAGTGCAAGATGAGGAGTGGGATGGACCGGCTTAGATTCTGCTCCCCAGCAGGCACTCAGCCCATCCCCCGCTCGGCATCTCGGGTCCAACCCCTGTCACTTCTGCTCCGACGACCAGAAAGATAGGGGAGTCCAGTCCAGTGGGCACATGTATGTCCACATAGATCAGATGGGTCAGAGGCAAGGAAGAATAAAAGTGAAGAGGAGAGAAGCACATATAACTGCGAATGGTGGAAAATGGTCTCTTTCCCTCAGACAATATTCTGCTGGGCTTTGGGCAACTACAAATAAACTCACTCGAGCCCCAACATGGCTGGTGGGGGCCTATGGATAAGAAATGGCCCCCAAGGGGGTCACATCATTAGAAAAGGCCTCTTGAAGTATAAAGAGCAAAAGCATTAAATATGAGTATATATAAATACAAATAAATTATATGTGGAAACAACACGAAACAAAAGATATATTACTAACACAAATACATTTACTACAGGGCTGCATATATTATATTCCTTTTTAGATCCTTGAAATGTTAAGAGGGCATGATACTTAGTAATTTCTAATAACTCTAAATGTTCATAAATATTTTTGAAGGGGAAAATATGCTTCATTGTTCTGCATGAAAGCTGCAAAGTTACTCAAGTAGAAAAGATAACAATACAGAGGGAGCTTTTAAGTGTTAAGATTTATTTCACTGGTAATCTTTTTAAGATTTAAGGAAGCAAGGGGCATGTGGAAATATTATTTTTCTTTAAATGAAAGCAGCAAGACTTTAAAGTGCTCTGTCTCTTCTGTTAAAAGTGAGATGGTTGAGGTCAAAGGATTCTCTAAACATTTGTTATTTACAGAACAAGTTGCAAAATAGGCAAAGGTTGTTTAGGTGCTAACTTTATATAGTTAAATATTCCTACAGTCAAAATACTGTTCTCATGAACACTATGAAGTAATAGCAGGCTTAAAAAAAAAAAAATAACTCAAATACTCACGGAGCAGGTTTTGTTGCAGTGACTCGGACCGGTACAAGTTTACGTGGTTCTTCTTAAAGACGTTCTTGAGCAGTTGTGCCCTCTCTGTGAGGCTGCAGAGCAGGTGCAAACGTGTGAAACGAATTATCAACTCAGCGAGACCCCAGTGTGCCCACAGGACCACCAGAGAGACCAGGCTTAAACAAAAGATTGCTTGAGCAATCTGTAGTCAAGGGATTTCTTTTTTACCCCCATTTTCTCAGCTAATGAGATTTCAAGAATTTAGATAGAAGACTATTTTGTCCCCAGTAATCCAGTCAAAAGATTTCCCCACCCCCTAGTCATATTGAAGTCAAATGGAGATATATAACCTGCACAATACAATAAATAAATTAAAAAAAATCTTCCAGTAGTTTATTAGCTTCTAAAATCTTGGTTGATTTACTACGTATATTTTAGGCATGGCAGTTTTAAAATTAAAAAATTAATTATTATTATATCTTTTTTCCTACTTTGAACATAGTTTGGTATGCAATATATATATTCATATATATATTTAGTTATGTAAAGAAATTATAGAAATTACACAAGGAAGGAATTTCTTGGACTTTTTAATTAGAAAAATTCCATTACCACTGATATGGTATGAAATGTGTCCTTTAGTTTCATTTTAAAATAAAATAATTATTTTCAGAAAATAATTACAGTAGGTAAAATGACAGGAAAAATATTTATTTTTTAATAAATGTTTAGAATAATCTTTTCCACAGGAACAAATTCATGTGATTAATTATGTAACTTCTAAAAGCACACTGCAAGAAATAATGCATCTATTTTCCCCCCACTATATGCAGAACTGTATTACATAGTAGAGAACTCAAATATTGGTTGAATACATGAATTTGAATAATTCTGAAATGTCCTTTGAAACATCATCATGCCATTTCTCCATTGGTTGATTTCTAAAACCTTACTTTGACATCAAAGAACATAATAAGCACGAAGAGCTTATAAGCAATCTATGTGCATTGCAGCAAATGTTTATATAATTTTGTTTTAATCACTGGATTTGACTCAGTTGAAAATTTTCCATCTTGTATTTTCCCCACTTTTAAAGCTTCAGTTAAATTGCTGTAAGTTACGTTAGTTCAATATTTTGCCAACTATTTTGAGACCCTGAAATGGAACAATTTTTATCAGATGTAAAAGAAAAAAAGGATCCTCTGCAAAAAGAACGTGTAATTACACAAATATTTAGGCTTTTGCCGAAGTAAAATATTTAGAAATGTTGACATTTGTAGTAATCTTCCACACATATTTTTTAAAGGCTAGGGATATTAACTGGTGCTTATTAGACATACTTTTTTGTCACTGGGAATTAGCTACATTAAGGCAAGAAAGCTAATTCATCTAAAACTCCAGTGGTTTTGCAAATATTTGTAAAACTTACTTTTGCCAGTGAAATAAACAGATGAGGGGAAGGAAAAGAGGCCATTTTTACAGTCACTTTTCTTACTTTACTCTTAAAATGATCTAACATTACAGACCCAGGACCCCTAGGGACATTAAGATATGTAACTGCTTTGGGGAAGTGGGCAGCTTTAGCAGCAGGTGGTCTGATTTTGTTAGCAGAGCCTTGTTGGATGGGGTGCTGGGAAGTAAAATGGAAATGACTACAAAAGACTAGGGAATGGTAATGTATCATTATATAGCTGCTTCTTCCCAAAATACATTTTCCAGGTTTCAGGCTGGTTTTCCTAAATGCATAATACTTTACTATTACCACATCAAAATGTTAAGAAGGCAGACAGAAGAATTTTGTCTTTCATAATATGGCAACTTACATATATAAGATAATGTAATTTTGTTTTGTAACATTTTATATAACGCTACACCAAATTTCACTCAGCTGTTCTATCAAGCTAGTCTAGTGTTAAAAAAAAAAAAAAAAAAAAGAGCGATGAAAAGCCTTTCTTGGGGGAAGGAGCACATCACTGTGGAAAGAACATGCAGTCTTACTTTGGTTTAATTCTGAGTCTGTTACTTATTAGCTGGGCACCTTAGGCAAATCCTCCGTCACCTCCCGTCTGAGAGGAGAATCCCTAACCCTCAGGCTGACTGTGAGGATTCAGGGAATGTCAGCACAGTGACGGGCACTCAACAAATGCCACTCCCCTCACCACTCACCAGACCCTCCAAAATGTATTAAAAAATCAACTAGACCAGAGATCATCAGAAAACCTAAGATGCTCTGTGAGGATCATTTCTGAGGCCTTGGTTTCTATCCAACACTAGCTCAACATAAGATGTCTATTGCCACCCGAGTTGAATTTATAATGCCCCAGTGCACGTCCTTAGTGGCAAACTGATGTTTGTTTGTTTTTGCCTTAACTACCTATCATTACTTATAGTGCAGAGTCCCTCCTAGCGAACAGAAATGCCATGCACAGGAGGGAGAGTTAAGTGACGATGATTTGCATTTCTTTAGTCTTATCCTACCTTAATTGGGGAACTACTCTTCACACCAAAATTATGCCATTTTGTGCCACTGATGTTTATGGGTACCCATATGACTATCAAGTCACACTATAAAATATACTGGTAACTTGTTAACCATTAAAAGAGGTGTTATAAGTTCAGTTTTTGTTGAATAGCTGAACATCATGTGAGAAGAAAATAAGTTTCTAGTGCCTTCTCATTAAAAACCACAATTTAGTCAGTAGTTTTACTCAGCCTTGTATGGTCTTTTACTTACATACCAAGATATGCAAATTCTAATCTGTTTAATGCAATTAGAAACATAACAACTACCACTTATTTATTGTTACCTTAGTTTCAAGCCCACTATAATTTTGCAACTTAAGTATCTAGTGGAAGTGAGATGGAACAATACCATGTTTTAAAATAGTACTTCATTTAGAAACGTAAAAAATGTATAGGTAAAACCCATTTACTGTCCAGAACATGTTGTCATAAGCTATTTACAGTAATTTCTTAAGAGAGGTAAATTTGCCCTGGCCAGTTTTGCTCAGCGGTTAGAATGTTGGCCTGTGGTCCAGAGAGACCTGGGTTCGGTTCCCGCTAAGGGCACGTACCTCGGTTGCAGTTTGTTCCCGGCCCTGGTTGGGTCGCGTGGGTGGCAGCCACTCGGTGTCCCTTTCACGTCGATGTTTCTCTCTCTCTCCCTCCCACTCTATCTGAACAAAATATAAAAAAATGTCCTCAGGTGAGGATAAAAAAAAAAAAGAGGTAAATTTGCATTTGTCTTTATATTGGGTTGCCAAGCTATTTTGGTTGCCTCATTAACATGGATCTCCTGTGGAAAGTCAATAACCCTTCGTTCATGGGGTGTTTTCGTGTGCAGTACGCGGCAGCTACCCTGTGCGGGTGGTGGTGGTGGTGGTGGTGGTGGTGGGGAGATACACAGTGAACATACCAGGCCTAATCTCTGCTCTGGAGGAGAGACTATTTCATTGTTCGGTCACTTTTCTTTACAGATGCTGGACAGAACCATTGTCACAGTGATAAGTAGGCTGGGGGGAAAACACTTCCTATGTCTGCCTATCCTAAACCCTAAGAAAATGATGTAGCCTGATATAAAATCCAGTGTGGCAATTAAAAAATATAGTTTCTTTTCTATCAGTTCTTGTTACAAGTGCTTTAAGATCAACAATACAGGGAAAGGCTGGGAGAGACCACCATCGCTGTCCCTACGACAAACGATGTAACAGCCGTACTTCCCTGTTCTCTCTAAAGCTAAGGCTATGACCAGCCGAGGAGAGGGCTCCTTCATGGGGACTGACCTGAAGACTCTGGGCTTCCATTCTATTCAGTAATGGGCCGTGCTGATATGCTAGTTAATGTCCACAGTTACTTATAAAAACCATGAGACTTATGATCATATTTGCCTGAGTATGAGATGTACTGCTTCACACACACACACAAGACACCCCAAAACCACTGCCTGTCTCCAGTGAAACCAATGTCCACAGTCCTGTATTTTAATCCTTTGGGTTTAAATTTACTTTTTTTTTTTTTGAGAAAGTAAGATGTTACAACTTGTAGATAAAGTACTCTCAAGTGGGATCTGTGAGGCCCCCAAAATTAATATTTCTGCTATAAAATGTATAAACATTTACATTATAGAAAAAATAAACACTATCAATATCCTTATATTTATAGAACAAATGGTTTAGGTTTTTCCAGGAAATGTTTGCTATAAACCAATGGAAAAAAATTGATTTTTGAAGTGTTGGTTTTTTTTTGGAACTGGATATGCTTCTGCTTCCCAGCATTGGTTCATGTCCACATGAAGAAGTTACAGCAAAGAACAGGGTCTCGCCGCTTCTAAGTCAGTTCCTTAACCAAAAACAATCAGCCAGGGCTACGCAGTGATCAGGAGCAAGGTTTGGATTTATCCTCCCAATATTTGAGGCTTACATCAACTTCTACCATAACCCATGGCCCAAAAGCAATATACGTAAGGTGGTGAAATACACCCCTCCCTTAAGTTTTGATGTAAAATTGGAATATACCTAACTTGCTGGATAACATGATAAGTGGCATATTATTTCCTCTCAAGAAAACTCATTATTTTAACTAAGATGTTCTAATTTTTGAAAATGAGTGAAGATGAGAAATAAATTATTGCAAATACTGGTCTGGAGACAGTGCCTACAAGTTAGAGCTTCTCTAGGAGTTTCATTTCATGTAATCTTGACTTCTCTGACAAGAAAAGGTAAACCATCATTGCTTTGGACAGTACCAATTTAGGAAGTGTAACCCATATAATTTTATGTTCTTATGTATCCTATTTTTAATTAACTACCCACAGGTCAACTATGTATTTACTACCCACTACTTTATTCTTTCACCTATCTTTCTGTCCTCCCTCCCTCCCTCCCTCCCTTCCTTCCTCCTCCCCTTCTTTCCCTTAACCATTCATTTATCCATTCACAAAATATTTATCAAGTGCTACTACGCTCCTGGTGCCATGCTAGGTGTTGGGTTGCAAAGACTAAGACAGAGGACCTCTCTTTCAAGCAGTTCAATCTAGTAGGGGAAACAAATGAACATAGGTAAACAAATAATTATAATACAGGCAATAAATATAAAAACAGAGGAAGAGTACACAAAGTACAGGGATAGAACAGAGATTAACTGTATTTGTGAAAAGTTGAGGTAACTGCATATAAACTGGGTTCTGAAAGCCAGGAATTGGACTGCCCAGTCTGCATGAGGGTATCAGCCTCTAGACAAGGGCACAGCATGTGCAAAGACTGGGAGGCATACAATAACCTGCTGCTTTGGAAGTGAGGGTCTGATATTGCTAAATACATAGAAATCACAATTTCTCCCTCTTTGAAAATGTAGATAAAATTAGTGGACTTTTAAAAACTTTGGTGTTGATATCATTGTCCAAGATTCCTAAAATAAAACTGGCAGTAAAATCAATCCGACAATTCCCTGACTGCCGTGGAATGCAATTAGTTCAGCATGAAGACTTTTCTAACTAGTTAAGATGCCCCCTCACCCCCAGCTGTCACCTAGCAGGAAGACACTGCGGTCATGCTGAGCATCAGCATCCTTCTGATCACCAATGGGCGGCAGCAGCAGCAACATGGGGTACGTGATGTACCAGGGGTATTTGTCTGTGGTATTCAGATAATAGCTAAGTCATTTTTGAGTTCTTGAGGCTTGCTGAAGATCTGTTTTAGGCAAATGAGCTGGGCAGCAACAGGAAAATTTATGACGCATTTTCTATGGAGAAGCTGGTGGTCATGTATGGTGGAATTCACTTCTTTCCTTTTAGGCTCTCTTATTTTATTTAGTTTAATGGAAGGGGCTACATACATCATAGATTCATCAAATCTTTAGCCTCCGGAGGTCATCACATCAAACCTTCAGCCTGATTTATAAAATGTCACCGATATACAACAGACCACGAAAACTAAATATCACGTAGAGAGGCTTAATGTAAGTTTTATTAGCATATGAATATGAGAAATGTCCTCCTGAGGGTAGTAGCAAGTATCATCGGTGGCCTCTCCCTAATAATTGTTCATAAATGGTTTTATTCACAATTTTGTGAACTATAACTTTTACCACATCCTTTTTATAGCTAGAGTGAAAGAGAGAGAACATATTTATTGAGGGACTATTTGTGCCAGGCAATAGAACAGATGCACACTTTTAGATGAAGGGACAGAGACGGAGGGGAAGGTGGAGGGAGGGGGAGACTATCTCTAACCTTGAGCACAGGTATGACTGTCCCCATCCCATACACAGGGACACTGACTTAGAGGGGGCAAGGACTTTGGCAGGTCAGTGGTAGGCTCTTTTTGCTGCTCTAGCATGTTCTTGGGAAGGTAGCACAAGGAGGCAGAACAGTGAACGGTAGGAGCTGGGACTTGAGAATCAATTAACATGGCTCAAGGCTCAGCTCTGTCATGTCTGACCTTGAGAACTCAGTCTCTCTGAGCCCCCGTTTCCCCATCTGGAAAAAATGAGGCTGATGGATTTGTGTGTGGTTGTTACAGGGAGTCAATGAGATAGCAAACATGACGTGATGAGTGAGCCCGGCCCGCACTAAGTGCTCAGCAAAGCCAGTCCTAACAGCCTGAGAGACGCACAGACTGCTGGGTGACGTGCCCCTCAGGCCTCATGACAGCAGTGAGGCTGGAAGCCAAGGCCTCAGTGTATGTTCCCAGCCTGATGCTGACTCCATTGTACCAAACGGAATAACAAGACGTATACCGGGGCAAAATATTTCTTATGGTTTAGTGTGATGAAAGAGAGAAAAATAAATACCTGGTAGTACCTTCATAATTGTGGTTTATTCTAGACTGCTTTCAAATAATTTAAATTCCCTTTTTATAATGCTTTGCGAATTTAGTCAAACTGATTAGCTTTCTAAGCTTGCTTTCTTTGGGGTGGGGGTGGGGCTGAGAAAAGGGCCTGGAAGACTTAGATGACAAGCCCAGGTCAGGTCCCAGCCATACACTGAGCGCGTGCGCAGCTGCAGGGCACTCCGCCCTCAGTCAACCTCTGATTTTCACGAAACACCAATTTATTATGGATACTGTTTGAAGCAAAAGTATTTTCCCCTCTTTTAGTTTACTTAACACAATACTATTTGTATCTACCATTTATTTAATGCTCATTAAGCACCAGATATTGAGCTGTTTGCTTTATCGATGGTAATTTTATTCAGTTCTTACAACTAGCCATGAGGTAGGCATTATCACCCCCGTTTTATAGATGAGGAACATTGAGGCTCAGCAGCATTAAGCCACTTGCCTAAGGTCACACACAGCTTAGTGAAATGACAGATTTGATTGGAACCCACATCTCTGATTCTGAAATCTGTCGACGACACGGCTAGCTCCTTGTTAACTGATAAAATGTAAGTTTTACCACTTGTTTCCAATTGCTAGTAAAAGAGAAATGTAAAGTTCACTTGGAAAAGAACAAACTCAGTGTATTTTACCTTTTTCCGAGCACGACTGCTCCTGGGTCTTGAGATTTTGCCTCTAGCTCCTGAACTTCATCTACTAATGTTTTAAAAGCAGTCCTCTTAATGCTGCAAAAAAAATTTGCATGGAAATATTTGTGTGAAACTTCACAAAACTACTTCTAAGTACAACAGTGACCAGCGTACAAACAACAATTTTTCAGTAGAATATAAAATATTACTATCATTTTGAGCATTAATATGATCACAGAAACAACAGTCTTAGGTTTATACCATTAAAAGTCTCATAGTAATTAAGTAAGCAACATGTAACTAACTTTAATGGTACTGTTTTTATGGGAAGAGATGACATAATAGTTATAATCCTTGAGATAAATTGATAAAGTTCTAGTTTCTTTCGTTCTATATTTTATATATACTTAAAATCAGGCAAGCAAAAAACTTCATTTCACAACTATTGTTCACTAATAAAATATATATGTGTGTTTGGAGATAATAGAATTTTTTCTTCTACCTTCACTGGGTTTTTCAGGTTGATTTCTAAAAACGTATTCCCTAACATTAACTGAAACTACCTAATCTACTTCTTTTTCTGTCTTTTAAACTAATTTAGTTTTCTAGTTCCTCAATCACTCCTTTCTTCTTTATTGATTTATGTAGAATAAGTGAATATTACTAATTCGTATTCTGCAAACTCTACACTCTTGAGTTGATGTTACGAGTAGAGAAATGTGGATTAACAGACACGTGCATTTGTGTGCACAGCACGGAGAGCCACACTTACACCTTGTAGGCTACATCCAGCAGCAGGGACGCCACGGGGATGAACAACAGGCCGGCCCAGAAGACCCCGGAACTAAACAGCATGGCTGCCTGGGAAGCCACCAGAAACAATGTCACTTTAAACACCACGAAACACATCATTCACGTTTAGTTTTTATACGATTTTAAGTAAAATAATTTTAAGAATTTCATTCTGCAAGAGGGTATGCTACAATAACTCTAAATTTAAACTTGTGAAATATTTGAAATTAAAAGCCAAGTGTTCAAACAGGTCTTTACTACATCTACCCCCCCAACCCCCTTTGCTATTATAGCAAAGTTTTATTATTTGCCGAGTCTTTTTATATTTTTATTATTGTGGTCAATGGAATAATAAACTTTGACCTTCTTTTATAACTTAGAATATCTCTGACCTTTGTTTATATATTTATAATATAAAAATCCATCTTTTGGAGCAAATTCAAATATATTTTGAATTACATTATCTTATAATACAACATGTAAAATAAGTCTTATTCTAAAGAAACTAACTTTATTATTTTGCAAATAAAAATGAAATACTTTAATAAAATATAACATGATAGTAAAAAAATCATCCAGATAAATCATGACTACAGTATAATCAAATGAAGATATCTATGAAAACAATTTTACTATTTTTAGCTGATATTATATAGAATAATCTTAACTTTTGTTCAAAGATTTACATAACTTGAATTGGTACATTCTGTTATTGCTAAAGTAAACCAAATATCTAGTATGTAAAACTCAACAAAAGTGTATTAAAAATAATTTTAATCATTCTTTGTATCAAATCCCATATTGCTATATCATAGTCACTTGAGTTGCAAACAAATGATTCTATGATCACAAAACCAATAAATTCTAGTGGGTATTTGCAAGTATAATAAAAATTCCTTTGTAATATAATTAGATTACACAGAGCTTAAAAGGAATATGCCATACAATAAAACCAAAAGAAATATTTTATTTCACTTCAAGTCTATTTGTTTATCAGGAGCAAATCTGCAGTAAATATATTGTTATAACCCCACTAAAACGTAGCCAACTAATGCATGCACATTTGCGCTCTACTAAAAATCACACAGAATTTTTTTTTAACCAAGTGTGGTTCAGGAATTAAAAATGATCTTGAGTTTAATCCTTATAGGCAGTTTCAGAATTACACAAAACAATCCTAACCAATCCATCCTTATCAAATAGAAAGATTACACATTTTAAATTACGTTTCAAATTACCTTTCATTTTTACTCTCAACGGAAGACTAGGAACTGCTGTTTAAATTTTTTTCTACATGAACATGGGCTTATTGATACAGACTGTTGGTTCAAGTATGCTAAGATTTTTTTCCCCTTTATAGGATCAGATAGCTCTGAATACGGTTAAAATAAAAACACGCTATTACAAAAAATTTCAGAAAATAAGTGTTGCCACGTGGATTCAGTGAAATAGCGCCCATATTCTAGACACCAACGGCATGAAAAATATTCACATAAAAGTCACTTTATTTTATAAGCAAAACATGATCTTTGACATGTTTGCTGTCATCCTCAATGGTGAAAACCAACAATAACTATGTAATAGGAAATGTCTATCAAGTCAGTGGATTTTGTTTAGAGTGAAGGAAGCTTTTCAGTATGGTAACAACTGTAAAAAAAACCAAACCACAACCACACACATTTCTTTTTCCTTCTAGGGGGAAAAGGTAAGATTCAAGCTTCTAAGTCATGTTCCTGAAAATACCTTGTTTACTTGGCTTAATTTGAATCCATTCTGATCGAGGGGGCAAGAGGAGAAAGCTTTATTCTTGCCTTTGCCACCTTGTACTAAACGTCCGCGGATGGAAAGGCCAACGCGCTGGCGGAGCCTGCAGGCTGCTAATTCTGACCATTGTCATGTTAACCGGCGCCCACCATTCAGTCCACCGGCCTTTGGCTTTACAAACGAACAACATGAATTGAGGGGAAAAAAGTTTTTCTGCGTCATATCTGAAAGCCTGTCAGATTTTTTTTCCCCCCTTTTGCAGAGCTAATCCAAACCTAAAAGATTTAAAACCGGCCTTCGCATGAAAGACAGAGAGTCTCTGTATTTTTTGGATGAAGAGGGGCAAATCCCACAGAGGTATTTCCTTCCTTTCTGTGCAAGGACGCTCCCCCTCCCTCCGTAGAAACCATTTTTTGTCTCTAACTTTTCACATGTCTCCACTGCAGGCAGGTCAGCCGGGAAAGGCGCTCGACCTCGCACACAATGGGGAACAGGAGCTCCCTCCCAGAGCAGTTTGCAAAGGGCTCCTGACGTGGGAGCCCGGTGCCGGGCCAGGGGCCCCCACCCGCCCCTCCAGGCCCGTGAGACCGAATGGAATCGCCACAGAAGTGGCTCCCGGGGCCTTGAGAAAGGAGGCCGGAGCCCTAAAGCCGGTAACGGAGGGCACAGGCCCTGCGCGGGGCCAAACCACCGCTTGTCTCTGCAGAGCGATGCTGGCTCCACATGGGACCACGCGGGCTCCCCAGAGGCACCAAGGCTGCCTGAAAATCCACGATGCAGCAGAGCAACGAGGAATTGTTCTCATTTCCCCTGGAACTTGCGGAGAAAGAGCGTTTGAGCAAATGCAGCTCACGTGTCTGTAGCACGCTGAGGGGCTTGACCAGGGAAGAGGGCCTTACCTTCTGAGCACCTGCGTTGTTCCCACACCGGAGGGGAACACTTACTTCCTCACCTCCAGGGTCCCCACGTCCAGTCTTGTAGGAGAAAGAATTTCAATGTGCTACCTGCATACAATCCTTCAGTAAAGAGGTTCTTAACCCTACCCCTCCTTTTACACTATAAATATCAGAGTGCTGCTATGACTCTTTCTTGGATAAAGTACTGATGCTGTCTGAACAGGCCGGCCCTGGGGGAGTCCTAAGGCTGTATGGAGGACCCCCCTGGAGCAGGCCCAGACTTGGGAGCAGCGGAGATTGAGCCTCTGCCTTTTCTCAGCTGTACAGTGGATTGGAAGAGTTAAACATGTTTGTAAAGTGGCTGCTTTTATTAGTAACACTGATTAATAACAAACTTTTCCTTTCTTCTGTTCTTCCTAGTGGTCTCTCCCAGGAGCGTCAAGGAAGGAAGTTTTTAATCACAATATCAAATTAAGTGTGAGTCAGTTTATAAATGTCATGGATTCATCACGTTAATATTCCAAATTATGCTTGTCTTAAGACTGACATTGGCCAAAGTAACTGACCATTAATAAATTGCCATTCTTCTCAATTTGCTAATTTAGGAAATGGAGATAAATTATTTTTTTTCATAAAAATTATTGATGACTGCATGGGCATAATATATTAATTTTGAATGGGAAATTATTCAGAAAATAGTGCTATAAAGCAGGGTTTTTTTGGGGGGGTGAAGGGCAGCAACATAAATTTATATAAATTGCAGAGGGCTTAGGAGTTAATGTGAATAACAGAAAAACCAAGACGTGATTATTATTTAAAGTTTTATATATGGACTTTCTTAGCTTAAAAAGTGAAAAAACTACAAAAAGAAATGCTTTAGACCTGATTCATAAAAATGTAGAATATCCACATGTTCAAAAAAAATATCACTGAAAAGCAAATGAAAAACAAGAATGACTGCCATAAATATATGAAATTCTGCAATACTATCTCGTTATAAAAATAGACCACTTATCTTCCTTCATAAGAACAGCTACAGACCCCAAGAGGCAGGAAGAGACGGAGAAGGCTCTCACAAAAGCAGCAGCAAGGAAGTAACGACTTGGAGAAGGGTTGAGTCTCTCTGTAGTCATAGAAACACAACCAAATCAGATCAGAGTTCACTACCACTGCTGAGGGGGGTATGGTGAAAGAGGTCTCTGCAACAATTTATGTTCACATGGGCAATGCACTTGTTGCCTTTGGGAAAGGTATTTGACAGTGTGCATCAAGGACACAGTGTTCATTCCTATGAATATGATAATGCAATTTCTGGAACTACATGTTGAACTTGGGCACAACTTTTTTTTTATCTTCACCTGAGGACATTTTTGCATTTATCTTCAGATAGAGCAGGAGGGAGGAGAAGGGGGAAGAAAGAGAGAGAGAAACATCGATGTGAGAGAGACACATTGACTGGCTGCCACCCACACAACCCCAACCGGGGCCGGGGACAAACTGCAACCGAGGTACGTGCCCTTAGTGGGAACCGAACCCGGGACTCTCTGGTCTGCAGGCCGATGCTCTAACCGCTGAGCCAAACAGGCCAGGGCTTGGGCACAGCTTTGACGTTTAGGTTAGTATCCCATGGAACTGTTCTGGGATCACCAGGCCTGAAAGCACACCCCCCCTCCGCCCCGAGAAGCATACTGTGGCCCAAAGTTCCATAAAGGTAGAAATGAACCCCGGCAACACTCTCTCGGAGTCCCAGCACAGAGTAGCAAATTTAAGGCTTCGACGAATCCCAGTAAATAATCCTACTATAAAGTTTTCTAAACTAAGATTTCCAAATGTATTTATAGACCCTGGGACACTTTCCCCTATACATTGCTTACTAACATCCCATGGAAATAATTTGGGGGAATGCAAATATTCATTGTGGGTATTTTAAAATAGCAAAACAGGACACAATGTGGCTGGTTGAGTAAAGGTAATTAGAAAACTGGTTGTTTGGAAGAGTCCTGAATAAAGGGAAAAGTGAAACATCCTGCTGTTCTCTCAGGAGCCTTCTGTTATCACAGAAAGACTCCGGAGGAAGGGTGGCAGTTTCTGTGACCTATATGGGGATCAGTCACAACCTCTCCCTGGGGCACAAATCTCTTGCCTATACTTCAGACACGACTACCCAGCCATGAACCTGACCATCACACAGGTCCTTCAAACAGAGGCAATGCAAACTGAACACACTGTCATCCGCCTAGACCGGCTTTTCCTGAGTGCAATCCGTCCAGGGAATGGCTTCTCTAGAAACTGGATTCTATCCTTGAATTGTTTCCTTATACCACATCCAACATATCACCAAAAAGTCCTGCTGGGCTTCAGTATCTTTGACAGCTACGCTCGCCAACCCTGCTGCCACTGCCCCAGTCT